TTTTTTTTTTTTTTTTTTTTTAGCATGGTGCTCACAATTTAGTTTATTATGATTATTAATTGTTTATAAGTTTCAGCTTCACAACTCATTACCGCTTCAATGGCAATTTTGTGTATGTTTTTTACTGGATTCCCCAGACAAGCTGTGTCGGCTACATGTACAGATCTGATCCAGTGAAATGAATAAAACAGGTGACTTCGCATACGGACAGACTCACTACGGCTCGACTACAAGTTTGTATCCCATTAGCACAGGAATTCTAAATATTCCATTTAACATGATTCACATAAAGACAAAAATAAGTCTGGGGCATTTGTAAGTGTATACCTGACATTACTAGGTAGATTCCTAATGATTGAGAACCTCTTTTAATTTAATTTATTTATTTTAGGTTAGGTTTTTTTAGATTAGGCATTGAGGAAAGTGATTCTTCCACCTATAATTTTTTATTTCTGATGGTTGGAAGGACTTTTTATGGACGAATTTCTCCCTTTCTTTCAAATACTGTTTTTCCTGTATTGCCAGGCATCACAGAGCTCCTTTGCCCTCTGGCCCTGCACCTTTGTGACATGGTGCTGGCTGAGTAGGCATAATGGGCAGTAGGTGTATTCCAGAAAGCCATTCCTACACCCACAGTGAGCAATAATTTAACAGTATGCGGAAATAACAGCAAACCACATAAATGCATGCCACAAAACCCAAATTAAATGTATCCCTAATTCAATCATTGTCCCTTTAGCCAGGTCCCCCAAAAACCCATGGCCATTCTTATACCACTTAATGGGGACTGGGGGGCGGGCAATGGAAAAAAGTCTTAAATATCTTACTTTAGAAAAGTTTACAGGTCCTACCTGGTTTGGTTCAGTGGTTAGAGCGTTAGCTCTCGCTCAGGTCCTAGGTTCAATTCCAGCCAAGGGCATGTACCTCAAGTCCCGCTCAACATTTCTCTCTCTCAAAAAAAAAAAAAGAAGAAGAAAAGAAACATTTACAGAAACATTTGACCAAGTGAATATACTGCTAGGACCTTTGGAAAGGGCCTGTTAAGTGAGAGCCCTGAAGCTTAAGCTTCATTCTTTTATGATATCCCATTTCTAGTTGTAGGGGACGCAGAACTAATTCTATTACTCCAAGCCAAGTGACTTTTTTTTTTTAATGTTTTTATTGATTTCAGGGAGAGGGAGATAGAGAGAGAGAAACATCAATGATGAGAGTTTCATTGATTGGCTGCCTCCTGCATGCCCCCTGCTGGGGACTGAGCCTGAAACCAGGCATGTGCCCTGACCAGGAATCGAACCCTGACCACCTGTTCATAGGTCGACACTCAACCACTGAGCCACGCTGGCTGGGCCATTGCTTGATTCTTGACCCGAAATCGAACCTGCAACCTCGACCTATCTAGACAACGTTGTAACCGATTGAGCGACCTGGCCAGGGCCAGACTACATTTTTAACAGCAAGAGTCTAGGAAACTTTTTTGACAGCTTTATTGAAATGTAATTGGTATTCAATAAACTGCAAATACTCAAAGTTTACCATTTGAGGGGTTTTGACATATGCATGGACCTGTAAAACCATGATCACAATCAAGATAAATATATCCATCACCCCTCCTGTAATCCTCCCCCTCCCCCAAGACTCTTCAATAGACATTTGTTATAATTCGCTTGTCACAATAGAATCTGACTTCTATAAACAGTTCAGAGAAGCTGCCTGCATTTCCATACTCGTGTCTTTTCTCTGTGAGGTTCACAGAGTTAGCAAAAAGGATTATTTTCTGAAACCTTTCAAATAACGTTCCCCAAGTTTGCTCCTATACGAAAGAGTACTTTTCAACCAACCATCTTTGTTGCGTGAATGTCAGTTAAGCTTCATTGCATTCAATCATTTGTCAGAAGTATTAGCATTTCTGAAATGTTTTCTGAAGTTTCTTCCCTAAAATCAAACTTTCCCTTTGTTCTTTTCACACATTTTCATCTGCTCTGTGAAACACTGTTAGATCACCAGACAGAGTGGGGTTAATTACATGTTTCCTGCTTTATCTGGTGAATTAATAATCAGTACTCAGTAAAATTTTGCAGTTAGTCTTTTTAATTTTATTTTTAAATTGATTTTAGAGAGGGAGGGAGAAACATTGATTTGTTCCACTTACTGATGCGCTTATTGCTTGATTCTTGTGTGTGCCCTGACGAGGGATGGAACCCGAAACCTTGGTGTATCGAGATGATGCTCTAACCAGCTGAGCTCCTGGGCTGGCCAGGGCTCACCTCCTGTCATTTTATCTTTTATTCACTTAAAAGTGTTTTTTCTTGTGTGTACTATAAAAATGTATTTTATGATCTCTTACCTAAATAAATACATGCAAATGGCAAAAAAAAAAAAAAAGAGTCGACCCCTACAGTGCTTTAAACCTGAATCAACTGCTAGCATTTTAAAAGCTGGAATTTTAGTGTAAAACCATCCAGGTTTCCAATTTACCTTTAAAAATTTAAGAAAGTTGATGACACTGGGAGGGTGCTGTATTAGACAGCACTGAGCTGGAGCTGCTTAGAGGCTGCCTCGCTGAGGAGGGACGTGCACTCTCAAGTTTACAACAGGCCCCCCAGTCCATAGCAGTGCCCTTGCTATTTATCATGGGCCTGTATCTGGTGCAATTGATCGGTTTAGGCCAACTCCGTTTATCCTGTTACCTGGCTGGCCGTTGTAGGTGCTGATGTTTCTAAGTCCCTAATATAGAAGAGAGGATGGGATACTGCCCGGAAGGTTGGGAATGGCTTCAGAGAGGGGATCATTCTGATCGATCGCTTTGTACCTTCACAATGAGTGGAACCCCACTCTAGGCAGAAGGAATGCCATTTGCTGTGGCCCTGAGGGTTAGGAGAGCCTGGCAGGTTTGGCTCGCCCTGACCAAAGCAGGTTCTGTGAAGGGAGGGGTGGCAGGAGACAGCCTGGGAGGTAGAGGTAGGCTGGGGCCGGCTGTGCAGGGAGGGAGCTGCTGTTAGTCCAGGTAAAGGCGACCAGATCCAGAAGAGCAGCGGAGGGAGATGGCAGGAAGAGCTGGAGTCCAAAAAGCTGGGCAACAGGGCCAAAGGAGCCAGCAGAGAGGGTCAGGGAAAGGGCTGAATCTGTCACTTTTTAGCTCGCGTGACCTTAGGTCCACTTTCTGGACCTCTGTCTCTTTAGCTATAGAAGGTAGAAATGGTTTCTGCCTGGGTTCCATCACAAGATGTGGATCAGCCTGAATTAACTTATATCTGTCAAAGTGCTTTAGAAATGATCAAATACCCGAACAGAAAAGATATGAGTCGTATAGCTGCTGTCACCATTCCTCTCTG